ACACACACACACACACACACACACACACACACACACACACACACATGAACACGAACACACACACACACACACACACACACACACACACACACAGAGGGTAGTTTTTTTTACTTTTTTTTTATTCCACGCGTGTGCCGCCACGTGTCCGAGCCCCATTGCGCTCGGCCCGTTGATCGGAATTCGACGGGAAGCCCCCGTTATATCGTTCAACGGGAATTCAACGGGGACACCGAGGGTGTTGAACAGGTACAATGGCGTTGTACAAAACTCGTTGCCCGTTGAATGGACACACAAGACGTAGCCACTCTCCACGCATCGGTCCGACCATGCAGCGCATCGGCCAATTAGACACAGCAAAAAGAAGAAGGGGGCGGGAAGAAGGCGAGGGAACCAAGAAGAAAGATACAGCTACAATGGCGCCCGTCCAAACCTACAGTTACACGCAAGATTGAGGGCGCCGTCTAGTCAGAACCTTGTTCCTGCCGCAGGAGGGTGCGCGCAAGAAAGAATCGCCGCGCATCAACAATTGGAAATTCCTAAAATTTCTATCTAAATCCGAAGTTGCAAAAGAAAATTCTGACGAGACGAAAAATTCCCAAAAAGCAAAAAGGAAATCCGAAATTCCGAAAGCCTTTGGGGGCTCAACATTAGTTGAAAGGAAATTCAAAAAGAAAGAAAACAAAACCTCCCGAGCGATCATTGCGCCAAAATTCCCATTCCCCCTGCTCACAGCAGAACAAGAACGAACCAATTTCAACTGTTATTAATCGCGCCTGATGTGGCGCGCGTGTTCAGCCATCCGCCCCGAGACTTCCTGGCCCTGGCCCATCACCACCGAAAAGTAAGAAGCAAAACAAAAAAAGAAGCAAGGACACCGATGCAATTTTACCCGCCGATCCCACCTCCAGTAATTTGCCCAACCAACCCCGTCACAGGACCCCTCGTCGTCATCGTGCAAAAAATCGTGGGGCACAGAAAGTGGTTCGTCACATATATGACACCCAGGGGTTTCCAATCTTGAGCAAGCTCCTGCTTGCTCGATATTTCGACACKTATCGATCCCTCTAATCGATGAAMGACGCGGARCTCTCTACGTGCCATTTACCGTATGATAAGAGTGTGGAAGTCATCCAGCGTGGCATACGTGGGCTCTATCCTACAAGTTTTCGGAGAAGGGCAATCTAATCACTGATGGAGGAGGCGGTGGAGGATTTTGGGGAAGAGGGGGCATGAATCAATCGATGGTCGGGGACTCGAAGGCGGGAAGGGAGGTGTAGTGGATGGAACGATGGATGCGAGGGAAACGGGTTCTTCGCATTGATAGGGGAGGGAAGCGATATAGTCGGGGTAGAAAGTATAAAGGGTACGACTGACGGCAGTGCGAAAATTCTTATAGTTTTCACAGACGGGGATCGTTCCTAATATAATACAATATATTTCTTTATTGTCATATTCCCGCCAGTGCGCACTGAACAGAAGGACAGGGAGAAGAAAAGAGTCTACCACAGAGTCAGTGGTAGCGTGCGGAACGACGGTGACTAGAAGGCAGGTGGCGTAGAGTTGGTGGAAGAGGTCGGGAGGGAAGGGGCACCATCGAGCGGGGAACGGGGGTCGACCAAGGAGCCGGGAAGGGACCAGGAAGTCAAGGGGACGATGAGATAACAACTGGGGACGAAGCCTGATCGCCCGCATCTTGACGTAGGCGAAGGGCAGGGTGGGGAGGGGAACCAGACGGAGCTGGCGATTCGCGTCCTAATCCCCCCACTACGGCTCCATCGCCTCCGTCTTCCTCCCGTAGGGGTTCCGGACCGAGCCACGGATTTCCCAATAACGGGTCGGGCGGGAACCCTTCCTCAATCGACCGCTTTCCCTTCGCTCTTTCCAGCCGCTTCCGTGCTTCTGCCACCTCCTCCTCCTTGCGTCGTTTGGGCCGTTGACTCGGCTCACCCGATCCACCCTCCTCTTTTGTCGGTTTTTCTTCTTCTTCTTCAACCTCCTCCTCTTCCTCGACGGAATCGGGGTCGTCACGATCCTCGCTCGATTCTTCCTCTGTCTCCTCGTCCTCTTCGATCTCCTCTTCCTCTTGCCGCGTGTTCCCTCGCCGAATGATAGGGTCCCACAGTGTGAGATCGGTGACATCGATCTCGAGGTACAGAGCCTGGGACGGATAAATGCAGTTATCGTCGTCCAGCTCTGTACACGCGGAGTCGTGGACCATAGCAGATGCGGCTCAAGCGTCCAGGAAAGCACGTCGATGTCGGGCCGGCTGTCACACCGCGATAAGATGTCCAGAGGCAGGTCGTCCACCAACTGCACCAGAAAGACCAGTAACTCGCTCGTGATAAGAGCGAGATTCCCATCTTCCACCTTCCCGAAGAGTATCCCCAATAGATCCCTTTCCGTCGTCATCCCCCAAGCTTGCACAATCAGCAGTTCCACCTCGTCGTTCGGGATTTCAGGCCCTTCCACCGAAATTTTTCCGCTGCGTGGATCGCTGTTGTGCTGAAGAAGGCCACGAATCGAAGAAGATCGGCGCTGAGGCGTGGCCGCTGTACTTGCCGGATGGAGAAGGGCCTGAAATCACCTGCTTTATACTGGGAGAAGGGCCTGAAATCCCGAACGACGAGGCCTGAAATTTTCCCCCAAGCTTACTCGTTCCCATTTCGGGTCTCGTAGCTACAGACCCGTCGTCTGTGGGCCAGTTCGGCCATTCGTTGGCATTCTCGGGCCAACCGGGGGAGGGACCGTTCCATTAGCTCCAAGTGTCGTTTGGCCTTGTCCCGGACCATGGCCCTTGTAGGCCGTCGACCCAGGGCAGATTCATCGTTGAGGCTCGATATTGAGACCCATGCCAAGCTATTGGTTTGTAACTGAAAGGGGCTCAGGGCCTGTGGCCCTGTGGATTTGGGAGGCGTTCCTCGATGGACCGTCAGGATATGATCCACAATATCAGGCCAAGGCCTTGTGTCCCTAGCCGCGATATAGTGCCATAGGGTGGTCTTAATCACCCGATTCGCGTTTTTTACCAGTCCGTTCGATTGCAACGTATGGGGTGCGGTGTTACGAATGGCAACCCCATGTATGACCAGATTCCTTAAGACTTCCCCCCTAAATTCTGCCTCGTTATCCGTTATAATTTCCTTGATGTCTTGGTGCATCCCGAAGAAACGGTTGACGTATTGCACGATTTCAGCCGCCTGTCTCGTTCCACTTGGGTACGCCTCGATCCATTTTGGAAAGTGATCTACGAATACCAATAAAATTGAATATTCGTAGCTATTCGGTCCAAGGGGCACTATTATATCGGTAGTATCCATGCTAACTCTTTGAAATGGTCGTTCGACTACCATGGGCACTATTGACCTTGGCGGTTGAATCGACGTCAGACCTGACAGTTTCGGACGATAAATTTAACATCGTCCCGAATATTGGACCAGTACCATTCGTTCTTGTCGATCGCCGTCTCGGTGATCCGGACGGCGAAGTGGGCAGCGGTATCCCCGTGGGCCGACTTAACCCAGTCATACCCGATAAACGGGTGTGGTACAATCATCCAAATCCCACTACCGTCCGTCTTCTGTTTTTCCAACCGTCCCTCATTCCATCGATAATCCCGAGCCCTCTCATTGGCCCTTCTCCGATCCTCCCTGGTGAAGTCTCGGAGGGGGTTCCAGGCTCCCTACTACGGTCGCTATCAGAGCGACATCGGTCCAAACCTCAGCCCTTCTGAACCTCTGAGTCTTTTCTAGCCCTTCTGACGTGGGATCAAGGAACCGAGCCTCGGTTGGGATTTTATCGGTCCGACACAAGGGGCATAACCAAGGCTTATTGCCGCTTCGGTATTGGATACAAAAGCCATGAGCTCTCGATACACACTGCCGACAATCCACCCATTCGACATACCCATCCCCACTAGGATGCATAGGAACCAAGTAGACCCGCGAGATTGCTTCGCAAAAATAACAAAATTTGTTGGGTAAAGAGAGAAAAGACGAAGAAGAGAGGGGAGAGGAGAGCGTTGGAGTTACCTCCGTCACCCATTGCCACATGCTTATTCCGCGGTGCGTGAGAGAACTGCCACCTGTCCGTACTGGGGCCCACTGGTCAGTTCCGGTTCCTTCCAAGGGATGATGTCTTCGCCCTTGGCAACCTTCGTCGGACGATGCAGTCGTGTCAATCCGTCCACATTTCCATGCCTCTCTGTTTTTCGATGGACGATGTCAAAATCGTACTCTTGCAGCCTCACCGCCCACCATCCAATCATGCCCATGTAATTTGTGAGCCTCTTAAGGGCCAATAGCGGCTCGTGATCCGTAACGAGGAGGAACTTCTGCCCATACAGGTACGGATGGAAGTGTTGGATTCCCCAAACCGTCGCATAGCACTCTCCTTGCGGGGCCGAATCGTTCCTCCGTTCGTCTGGTATAGTGCGGGAGGTGTACTCGATGACGTGCTCATGTACGTTGTTCCCCTTCTGCGCTAGGATAGCAGAGATTGTCTCGGGTTGCCAGTCAGTAATAAGGATGAACTGCTTTGCTGGGTCCAGCCGGATCAAAATAGGTGTCGTGGCCAGGGCCTCCTTGAGAGTGACAACGACCCGTTCGCAGTCTGTGTCCCAACTGAGGGGCTGGTCCTTTCGTAGCAGCTTCGTTAAACCACTAGTACATTTGGCACGTGGGAAAATAGCAGGCCTCCAGTGGGCCACCGACCTTTTCGGAGGCCGAAACGAAATGACGGCCGCCGATCAGATTTATCAATGGTAGTCGTCGTTGGGCCAGGCCTCCGAATCTTTAGGAGCTTGGGAAAACAACCAGTTTTCCCTTTTTTCCCACGCGGGGAAGGTACTAGTGGTTTAAGGGTCATGCGATAGCGACGAAACCCTTGATAAATCGTCGATAATACGAAGCCAGTTTGAGGAAGGCTCGAACTTGTGTCAACAACGTGGGTGTTGGAGCGTCTCTGACAGCCTCGACTTTTCTCAAATCAGTCTGTAAACCTCCCCGTGTCACCACGTAGCCCAAAAAGGAGATCTCCGGGAGAAAGAACTCACTTTTCTCCAGCGCAATCTTGAATCCGGTGTCCCTCAAAGCTCCCAGCATCCACTCGATGTGCTGCGCGTGCCCGTGGTAGGATTTCGAATAGACAAGGATGTCGTCCGTTTACACAATGATGTAGAAATTGATTATCCCGTGTGTCGGTCGAGTCTTGTTGACGAAATTTTGAAACGTCACATTCATCACCTGCTGGAACGTGGCCGGCACGCTGCAAATCCCCATCGAGCATCGAACTCACTGCCACGTGCCTTCAAACAGAACAAAGGTTGTCTTAGGCTGATCCTCTTCCTTGACCGGAATATGATGAAACCCGTGACGAATATCGAGCTTACTAAAGTAATTAGCACACCCAATCGCATCCAATAAATCATCAATCCGAGGGAGGGGGTATACATCTTTAATCGTGATATCATTCAACTTGCGATAATTGATGCAAATGCGGACTGATCCATTCTTTTTTGGTGTCGGGACTACTGGGAACGACCATGGCCCCGTAGCTGGCTCAATCCATCCGTTGGCTTCGAACTCTCTAATCCTCTGTAGGGCCGTTTCACGCTCAGCGAGGGAATATCGATATGGTTTGCAGTGGATTCGAGGGTGATTCCCGGTCTGAACATCGTGTTGGATAATTAGTGATAACCAGGGTTGTCACCCAGGGACCCCCGGGGCCAAACCCCTCCCGCGGGGGTGCCGACCCCCGTACCCCGAGATCGACCCCCGCGCCCGCCCGACCCTCGACACCCCCGCGAGACCCCGGCCCCGACACCCAGCACCCCGGC